ACTCAGAAACCCAAGAAGGGATTGCTATGAGTTGGGATCAGTTTGACAGCAGTGAATTTGGTTTTAGTTTTCCTTCATTAATATATTGTGCAGTGCAATTAATTACTTAATATGGCCCTGCTGGCCAAAATCTTTTAACTCTCATCAAATGACTGGGTGGGACTATGCAAATGAGGTGCTTGTGGCCTACCAAGGGGATTGGATAGCTTGCTGTAATATAAATAAGGTGCATGGCATCCTTGTGGGGGTGGGGTCATGCAAATAAGGTATATGGAATCCTAATAAGGGGATTGGTAAGTTTGTCATCCTGCTAGGCTAAAATAAGCCATTCCAGAGGTGGCAAGAGGGACCTCACAACCATCAAGAAAGAAGAGCCAGGGGCAGATCATGTCCTTTGGACCTGGGATCCTTGTATTGAGAACCTTCTAGACTGAGAAGACAAAGAGTTGTAATACCAGAAACAGTGAGAGATGGCAAGAAACTGTGGCAGAGAAATGGTAGCAGCAGAACCAGGAGACCAGCAGGAGACAGTGCAGTGGGCTTCCTATCCCATAGAGTGAGAAAGCTGAGAGGCTTCAGGCATGAGGCTTGCTGGTGGAGTGGGCTACTTTGGAAACTTATTACATGAGCAAAAGAGCTTTGTATCACTTGCCCAAGCAGGGCAGAGGCAGAGGGGCCACAGAGCCTCAGGGCTGAGAAGCCAAAGTCACGGAGAGACATGCCTACAGGCACAGCCAAAAATAGCCTGTCCTGACTGAAGAACTGTATCCTGAGTTGTTTCTGATCCTGATTTACAGCCTATTAATTCTCTAATAAACTATAAGTGAATACTGTCTGTGAGTTCCATGTGGCCACTGCAATGAGTGATTGAACCCAGCAGATAAGTAGCGAGTGACATGGGAGAGATGATTGGTATCAGAGTTGGTAAAAAGGTTGGAGGATAGAGGCATGTCTGACTTCTGCCTCACAGGAATCCACTTTGGGCTGATGCGGATAGTGATTCTCTCCCACTTGTGAAGTTAGAGGAGGTCAGCCACCTCTACTATGTCATTTTCACAATTGTATTTCATCCATATATGCAGGTTTACACTAAGTGTCAGAAACTTCACTAGGTGTTAGGGATTAAAGATAATAAAAAAGGATAGGCTTAGTTTTTAAGAAATTCACAATCTAGTAGAATTAGAAGGACCGCCGCCTTCTGGGTAGCAGTCAAATGTCTTAGGCACTATGCCACCAGAGCTCCCCTATATAAACAACTAACCATAAAACAGTAATATGATAAAAGCTGTAACAGGTGATTCATCTATAAAGTCCTGTTAGGACCAATAGGAACAAGCAATGCATTTTACCTGGGGAGGCTAGAAAGTTTCTCAGAAGGGGTGAAATTTATCTTTGGTGTTAAATGATTAGGAGATTAAGAGTATTCCATAGGCAGGTAATAGAAAATGTTTTGCTAGGCAAATAAAATTGAATAAAGCCTTGACTGTAGAAAGTACCTAGAACATGTAAGAAAAAGTGAGCATTTTTTTTTTGTGGTGTAGTGCAGTGAATTACTTAATACGGCCCTTCAAGCCATAGTCCTCCATTTTGTGATGTATATAAATCTTAGCCTCAGTGCCTGTGATTGTGGTCCCAGTTTGGAGAGAACTGTCCATTATCTTAATGAGATAGGATTGGGGTGGGATGTATCTTGAGTCACTGCCTTACTAGAGGGTGTGACTCAAGATGTCACCCTTAGTTTCTTATTGAGGGTGTGGTCTGCATCCAATATATATGAATATTCTATCAAAGTTCTCTCTCTTGCTCTGGATCCTATATCTAGTTCATCATCATTTGACGTCCAGTCCACCAGCTTCTGCAGCCTTATGAGACAATAGTCTGTCATCCGACCTGACGCTTTGGGTTCATTGGTCCCTGCAAACATGTGAGTGAAGAAAATCCTCCATGGAGACTGATATTTGATGCATGGATTTGGGACTTGCGAGCCTCCAAAACCATGTGAGCCATTTCCTTGGCAGTTCATGAGTTCTGTGAGACATTACAGTAGTTACAGGACCCTAAGATGGGAGGGAGAGTACTGAGGGGAGAGGGAGTAGTTGATGTTAGATATGATGGGTACAGCAGTTTGGAAAAGTTGTACATTTGGCACATCTTTAACCTCTGCCTCATAGGCACCAGTCTTGTGCTGATCCTTCTGAAAGAAATTATTCGAGCAGGTGAGTATGAAGTATGTTTGTGAAAAAATGGAAAATAAGGTTGTAAGAAAGGTCGCAGAAAGACTGGGAACAGTTGGATACGTTGTAACTGACCAAGGTGTCTACTGTTTTTGTTTTGTTTGCCAAGCAAGTATTCTAGTCCCTCTTGTTCAGGTAATAGACCTCTCCATTACTGCCATGGGGCAGGCCATCTGATCCATGCCTGGCCATTCCAGTCAATAGTGGCTTAAGTGATGAGCACCCTTCAAAAAACAGGGCCAAGAAGAAACCTTCCCTGGGTTGACAAAGTCATTTGGAGAAAGAAGTGTACTCTTTTTGTTATGTGGCTAAGCATGGACTGCCTATGATTAAGTTATCAGCTAAGTGAAAACCTATCTGCATTTGTAGATAATGAGCCCAACATGCAAAATGAAGAGCAGAAAACAGAAATGAGCTATGAATGCAAAAAAAAGTTATTTCCAGAGATGCTGAATCTTTGAAGCCATGATCCCTGGCACAGGTTCTTCCACACATGACCATGTGCATCTTCTAGCCGTGTGAACCAATGAATTGTTACTTGGCATAAATGAGTTTGAGTTGGATTTCTGCCATTTTCAATTAAAATATTCCTGATTGACACATATGCCATGTTAAGAACTCTGTTTTGCACAGTAAAGCAACAGGGGCCACAGAGAAATTTTAACACATAAAGTGTTTTTGTGCAAGTGATGGATCAAAAGTGCATCAGAAAGACAGTTCCAGTCAGAGCTATGAACCAGTTAATTTCAGTGGAACCCTCTATTGAGAATTTGCATTTCTACCCCAGATATTCTGAATTAGAATCTACATTTTAGCAAGATCCCTAGATAGGTATACATAAGAATCACCTGGGTATCTTATTAAAATATAGATTCTGATTCAGTTTATCTAGGGTAGACATGCAAATTCTCAGTAGGGGGTTGAACTGGAATGAGTAGGTTTGAAGCCCTGGTTCCAGCAGCTGGTGCAGAAGATGGATTGGAGGGAGATCATGAAGGCACCTCTTTCAAAAATTTGGTTCTTCAGCCTTAGAGAATTTGACCAGCTCATTTGGCATCTATAATATCTTTTGATCCCACTCGGTTGGAATAATGGTCTTTAGTTTGGCATTCCTGCAGTTCTTTACTTGTACCTGACATAAGACCAAAAAAATCCAAACTCACCATCATCAAGTTAATTCCTACTCATAGTGATCCCCTTTGGGTTTCCGAGGCAGTAAATCTTTACAGAAGTAGATTGCCCGGTATTCCTTCTGTGGAGTGGCTGGGGTTTGAACCACCAACCTTCTGGTTAGTAGCCAAATGCCTTAGGCACTACATACTCCACCAGAGCTCCTTTGTACCTGACATAGTGATATTCAAACTTCAGCATGCCTCAGAAGCACCTGGAAGGCTTGTTAAAACATAATTGCTGGGCCCCAGCCTCAGAGTTTCTGATTCAGTAGTCTTGGGCAGGCCTAATTTATTCTAACAAGTTTCAGGTGATGATGATGCTGCTGCTGGTTCAGGGGTCAAGCTTTAGGAACTACTGCTCAAATATGAGCAGTTCATCTGGGCCATATTCTAGTTAAATTGCACATCTTCAACTCTTTTTGGATTATAAGTGCCTTAAGAATTTTCTTATTCATCTTTGTAAAACTCTCAGTTACTAACATGCATTGTACAAAGTTGGTATTTGATGACCATTATTGTGCATTTAACTGTGGAGTTAAGTTTAACATCTTACTGTATTAAATTCCCTCAGTTATCACTTAAACACAGATTTCCTCAGAAAATGAAGGGTGTAACTGAAAAAAGGATTGAAAGGCAGACTATAGCCTGACTTCTTTTGGGCTGCCAATTTGATAATGTCTGCTATCTGATTCCTTTCAAGCTTTGAGCATAAAGGACAATGATTATTTTCAAATATAAGAAAGCTTGAGACACTTTATCCTAGAGAATTAAGCCTAGTGTTTTGCTTCTTCCTGCATGTGTTTCTACCTTCTTCTTGATTTAGCTGGCATCAGAGCAGAGATCAACCACAGGGGAGAAAGCATTCAAAATATTTTTCTCATCATGATGTCTAGAAATGCTGACTAAACTAACTTCTTTCATATTTGTTCTATGGTAAGACATTCTGTCCTTTTAGACTCTTTGCCTTATTACCAGTTACCAGCTGTCAGACAGTTGATTCTGACTCATGGAGACCTTATGTGTTGTAGAGTAGAAATCTGCTCCATGGGGTTTTCAAGGCTATGACCTTTTGGAAACAAATCACCAGGCCTTTCTTCTAAGATGCCTTTGGAGGTTTGAACCTCCAACCTTTTTGGTTAATAGCTAACCACTTAACTGTTTGTGCCACGTAGGACTCCCCTTTGCCTTATAACTATTTAAAAACACTAGGTTCAAAATTATTTTTTTAACCATGACATTAGTTTTTTGTGAATTAAAAAAAAAGCATGGAACTTGCCATAACCTGTGAGATAGGGAAGACCCCCTTGAGGCACTCTTACAATTGTTCAGACCAGACCTGTTTCCTCTATTGGAACTGACATCCTCTCTTTCATAAACTCACATGGGTAGCTTCTGGAAGCAGATATGGCTGGAAACCAAAATGCCATTGACTCTTAAACCTTCTCTCTTACTACATTGTGTTTCCTATATTTAGAATCATCTTTCTGATTCTTACAGCATCCCCAGGTAATGTTGTAGAGTATTAGATGGACCTGGATGCAGTATTCAAGCATGGAGAAAAGGAGAGAGAGAATTATATAATGGTGTTAGTTACCTTAGGCAACCTGTGACGTTGTAGAATATATCAAAATCGAGTAAGCCATTTGCTTTGGGGTAGTCACCTTCTGGCCACCCTGAAAAGGGGATGATGATATTCTCAGTCAGGATAAGTAAGGCTTCTGTTATCATGAGATTCTTGAGTTTGTCATTAGAGGACAAATTCCACAGCAAACCTAGAAAAGTAAAGAGTGACCATCAACCAGTGCAGGGTGGAGCTGAAATGCCTGTTGAAAAGATCAGTTAAGTCCAACTTCCAGGGCTATGACTAATTGAAAGAAAGAAGAGGGGAGACAGTTCCTTTCCCAACTGAACTAACCTGTTTAGAATTTATGGATGGCAATGGGAGCAGATCCATAACGACAACTAAAAAAAAAAGTATACATAACTTTTCATATAAAACTATGTAAGTTTAAATTAAGCAATAATGTGATTGAAAGCCAGAAATATTTAAACATTTAATACAGTTTCTCCTAAAAGACCCTAGCAGAAAGCTGACCTCACTGGGACAATAAATTCTATGTTCACCAACAGGGAGGCTTGATCCTATTGTAATGATCCTTTTGCAACTAAGACTTTACAATTTTAAGAGTCGTTTTTTTCTCCCTTAGATATATGGAAAAAATATCTCCCCTATCTCTTGCTCTTTACTATCTATAACTTTCCCATGACATTTTGCCATCCAGTAATACCATGAAGTGCTTGCAGAATGCTGTTCCTATGCCTGTCGACAGTAGTGTTCTAGTTAGCTAGTGCCGCTCTGGCAAGAATATACCACAAATGGGATGGCCTTAACAAACAGGAGTTTATTCTTACAATTTGGAGGCTTTAAGTCCAAGTTCAAAGTGCCAGGCTCTAGGGGCTGGGTGAAAGCCCTTCAACCTCGGGGTCCAGCTCTGCCCCCAGCTCCCGGCCCACTGAAGCTATAGACATTTCTTCACTCAGACAGCTGCTGGCTGCTGAGGCTGAGAAGCCCAAGGTTGACAAATAAAATGGCACAGTCCCGATGTTACCAAACCACACAGCAGGCCATTAACTTAAGTCTATTTTAAGTCCCAAGGTTGGCAGAGCATAGCAGGCTGCTGAGCAATGACACAGCTACATGCAGGGTCCAAGCATGCCATAGGCTAGAAACGATTCTCAAAGCTTCTCCTTATATACAGGAAACAGACCACATACCCAAAGGCAGCTACTCAGCTGCTCACAGTAGATTCCACCATGGAGTTGATTACCAGTCTCATCATGGGGAATACTATATCCAGCTGCCCAGCCAAGTCGATATACAAACATAACCATCACAAGTAGGCAGATCAATATCACCAATTAATGTTTATTGATTCCTATCCAATGATAAATGAGCTCTGGTGGTGCAGTGCATAAGGCATTTGAGTGCTAACCAGGAGATTGTTGGTTCAAACTCACCAGCCACTCCATGGAAGGAAGATGGGGCAATCTAGTTCTGTAAAGATATATTGCCTCCCTCAGAAACCCAATGAGGGTTGCTGTGAGTCAGAATTAACTCGATGGCAGTGAGTTTGATTTGGTTTTGGTTTATCCAATAATAAGAGTTTATGCCCTCCAGGAATTATGCTGGCTCATTTGTTTATTCTTTTATAGTTTGGTATTGAAGGAGAGACAAGAGTATCTTATCCACCTGCCAACTTGCATAGTCTAAGCATTCTTAAGATTCTCATAGAAAAAGAGAATTTTAAGATTAGGAGGAATTTAAGATTATTCACTTAATTTTCCCTTTTCTCTTGAATCCCCCACATTAAAGAGAAAGGCTATATATGCCAACTAATTAAGATAATAGAATACTGTACTTTCCAAGGTATTTGTGAGATGGAGACTAAGGCTGGTTACTGAGAGAAAATAGAAAGTAGCATATATGTTTTTGGATTTCCCCCCCCCCCTTTTTTTTTTTTTGCAAATTTGGAATTTGCTGCTCATATATTTTTGATTTAGTGGAAGAAGGGCTACACCTATTGCTAATCTAGTGACTCCCAGCAAGTGTAAAGTTGCCTTGCCATCTTTCATGCTGTAGTAAGTTACTCCAACTCTCTCTCATCCTCGAAAAAGGAGAATGGGACAGGGAGAGAAAAGATAACTCTTTACTCTCTGCTCCCACTCCTCTCAGTTCATAATTTTTACTCCTTAAATATACTGTGTTATCTGTGCAGAGGAACGAAGCAGCACAGGTACACAGGACATTCTACTTTCTTTAAAAAAGTAGATGGTGATGAGACTGACTCCTAGAAACATGGCAGTCTTGGCCTTATTATGTGGTGATATTATCTTCTCTGATTTTAATGACTGAAATAACAGTCTGTATGGTTAGCTGAAACTTGGTAATTATTTAACCACACTTGTATTTGGCCGACTCCATTAAGACACTCTAGACCTAATGCAGTCTTCTGAGCTTAAACAGTTTACTTTGGCTGTGTTCAAGTAACTAATTTCTGAACAATAAATGAATTTCCACTGCAGCGTATACATCACTTCCATTAGCTATAATGACACCAGGTCTAGTGTCTTGTGAGGACTAGAATTCTGCCTTATGGGGAGGTCTTTTCCTGATCAAACTAGCAATAGGATTTAGTCATGAGCAGTGTCCCTCAGCCACAGGGTTGCAACATGATGACTTCATTCCTTCCACTTCATTGTAAGAGCCCGTGGAAGGGAGAAAGACAGAATAAAACCCCAAAGGTGGTTGAAAACAATTTAAGGGCTGGTCTGAGGTTCAGTTCTGTTACTAAGCTACAAAAGAAAGTTCAAAAGAAAGGAGAGAAAAAAGAAAAGGAAAAAGCTCCCTGACTTCTAAATAAGCAAACAAATTAACAGTCTCTGCCTGCCAGAGGCTTAAAAATGTGAAGCATAATGACATTTCCTCCTTTCAAAAAGGACCACACAGGGTACTCAAAGGAAAAATACACCTTACAATAAAAGCCAGAGAGGATTAATTTGAACAAAGGGAGTGGAATTTTCCTTTAGCAGTCAATATCCTTTGTAGCTTGTCATGCTATATTATTTCTGCATAAGTATATACTTTGGGGAGTTTTAGTAAAATTTTTGAGTCCCTAATGTAGGATATTACACAGAAATGTCATATTCATTAAATTTCTGGATGTTCTAAAGCTGGGAAAAAACTAAAAGAATTGGGATTATACATACTTACACATAAACACATATACATTCTTACAACACACATAAACACCCTCAAACACACATATACACAATCAATAAATGACCAATTACCCAAACATTTTGATCAAAGATTATACAGAAAACTCCTGATCAAAAGTGGGGCAATACAGAACAGAATTTGAAATTCTCATGGAATACAGAATTTCTGGAGCCATTGAGACTGAATGAACCCCTGAAACTATTGTCCTGTGATAATCTTTATGCTTTAAATCAAAAATACTCCTTAAAGTTTTCTTAAAACCAAAGAATAGTTTAGCTTAACTAGTAAAGAATGTCTTCCTTGAATATTGTGCTCTTTCAAGATCTACTTATATGGGATCAAATTGACAATTTGAAAGATTAGATAGGAAATTTAGGGGGCAGTGAGTTCATGTTAATGAAGGAAGAATAATTCAGAAAAGGAGGGTGAGAATGGTTGCACAATTTGATGAATGTGATCAATGTCACTGAATGGTATATGTAGACATTGTTGAATTGGTGTATGTTCTCCTGTGTATAATCTCAAAAAACAACAACAAAAATAAATACTAAAATAAATGACCTATTACAAGCTGGGAATACATGTGTAATAGTAAGAGTGATAAAGAGCTAATGTCTTTAACGTATAGAATTCTTATGTTGTTGTGGTTGTGTGCCATTGAGTTGGACCCGACTCATAGTGACCCCTCCTTGGATTTCCGAGGCAGTATCACTATGGAAATAGATTGCCCCATCTTCCTTCTGAGGAGTGGCTGGTGGGTTTGAACCTCCAGCCTTCTGGTTAGCAGTCAAGTGCCTTAGCCACTATGCTACCAGAGCTCCCTAGAATTCTTATACACTATTGAAAAGTGAAACAGAAGAAGAACTAGGAAAGTATTAACCACAAAACCTAAACACTATTAGGGGTTAATATACATAAGAACACACGTTTCCTAGCATTTAAAGAAATGTAAATTTAAACAACTAGGTATCATTTTCTGTGACTCCAGAGTGGAAATTCTAAGGAAGGAGATTAGAGCTCACTGAAAGTTTAAACTTGTAAAAGAGCTATGAGAAAACAGAAAGATTCGCTTGTTAGATCCAACTCTATCATTGGAAATGATATAAAAAAAATTACCTCACCCCATCAAGATGTGAACAAAGGGTTTTATGTTGAAGTGAAGAGTTAGATTAGACTATTAGCTTCCAAAAGAGCCCAGTGGCAAATTAGAATTATACATTTCTGGCCACACACCAAATTTACTGAATCAGAATACCTGGAAAGAATCCAGAAATTTATATTTTAAAAACTTATTCTCATTTCTGGCTTTGGGACACTTCTGGACTAGATAATCTTTCAGCCCCTTTCAATGATCAGATTCTAGATTCTCTGTGTTTTATGTGTCTCATCTTCAACTCTTGGTCAATTTATTCAATGTCTACATTTGTTATCATAGTTCTTTGTTGCAGTTAGTCTGCCTGAATTTTCCTACCATGATGAATTCATTCTAATAAAAAAGAAAGGGAAATAGATTCTGGTAAGGTGTTTACTCTGAAAAATTTGCAATTATATAAGAAATGGTGATACTTGGATTATTCAGAAATTTACTGCCAACTGTGATGTTTATATAAATAGCTTACTAACAAGGGGGAATTTACAGATATTAAAACCTATGTTTTATTAATATTGCCTTACAAACCCACTGCCAGCAAGTCAATTCTGACTCATAGCGACCCCCATAGGGTTTCCAAGACTGTAAATCTTTACGGAAGTAGATAGCCTTATCATCCTTCTGCAGAACAGCGGGTGGGTTTAAATCACCAACCTTCTGTTTTCTGTTTACCAGCCAAATGCCTTACCTACTGCACCACCAGAGCTCCTTAATATTGCCTTATGTTGTTGTTGATGTTATGTGCTGTCGAGTCAGCCCTGACTCATAGCGATCCCTCCTTGGGTTTCCAAGGCAGTATCACTAC